CTTTGAGGAGTTAATACAAGCAGAGACCTGAAGGAGAACTGGAGGCAGGCCTGGAATGGATGGGGGAAGAACGTTCCAGGCAGATAAACGAGCACATTCAAAGGCCCTGGGGTGGAACATCAAAGTCAGTGAGATGGAATGAAGTGAGTGGTCCCAAGTACAGTCAGAGAGAGGCCTGACCATGAGGATCTAGGGAAAGGATCTTAATTTTATTCGAAGTGTAATGGACAGGCAGGTGACTTAATTTGGTTTACCTTTCTGGGTGGAGAATGTCCTGCTTAATTTGTCCTGCTTAATTTGGTTTACCTGCTGGGTGGAGAATGTCCTGGGGGAAGAGGGAAGCAGACTAGCAGGGAGACCCATGAGTCGACGTTTGAAGGGTCCAGGTGAGAAATGATGTTGTTGGACTAGGGTGGTCCTAGCAGATGTATGAAAAGGTGAATAGATTTGGGAGATGTTTTGGAGGTAGAATGGATCTTGCTCATGGAATTGGATGTTGGGGTCAATGAACAACAAAGAACTTGGATGATAAATTTTTGGGTCAGAGCAACCAAATGGATGGTTGTGACATTTGCTGAGATGTAGAAACCTTGAAGAGGTTTGGTGGCAGGCCTTGGGCATGTTAAATTTGATAATCCAGGGAGGCAGTACTGTTGTTGTCGTTAGGTGCCATCGAGTCGGTACGACTCATAGTGAGTGACCCTATGTACTACATAATGAAACACTGCCCAGTCCTGGGCCAACCTCACAATTGTTGCCATGCTTGAGTCCATCGATGCTGCCACTTTGCCAATCCAGCTCACTGGGAGTCTTCCTCTTTTTCTCTGACCCTCCTCCACCTTACCAAACATGATCTCCTTCTCCAGTGACTGTCCCTCCTGAAAATATGTCTGAAGTATGAGAGACAAAGTGGCCATCCTGACCAGTTTTGAAGTCGGTTCCGACTCCTAGCAACCCTGTCTGTATACAGCAGAACGAAACACCGCCTGGTCTTACTTCATTGTCATCATTGTTATTGTTTGAGGCCATTGTTGCGGTCACTGTGTCCGTTCATCTCATTGGAGGTCTTCTGATTTTTCTTTGACCTTCTTCTTTACCAAGCATGAACGATGTCCTCCTAAGTATATGAGACAAAGTCTCACCATCCTTCAAAGAAACCTCCTGGCAGTACTTCTTCCTACAGATTGGTTTGTTGCTCTGGCAGCCCGTGTTACTTTTAATATTCTTCTCCAATACCATAATTCAAATGCATCAATTGAATTCTTCTACTGCCTTCCATATTCATTGTCCAACTTTCACATGCATATGAGGCCATTTAAAATACCAAAGCTTGGCTCGGGGTACAAGTTAGTCTTCAAACTGGTATCTTTGCTCTTTAGCACTGCAAGGAGGTCTTTTGCAGCAGATTTGCTCAATGCAATCAATATATGTCTGATTTCTTGACTGTGCTTCCACGAGGGTTGATGATAGCGGTGGTGTGCTATGGAGTCCGGTTCCGACTCATAGCGACCCTGTATATGGTTTCCGAAACTGTAAATCTTTAACACGAGCAGAAAGCCTCATCTTTCTCTTGCGGAACGGCTGGTAATTTCTAACTGCTGACCTTGAGGTTAGCAGCCCGACTCATAACCACTACGCCACCAGAGCTCCTTATGAGGGTTGATGGTAGATACAAGTGGAATCCTTGACAGCGTCAGTCTTTTCTTCCTGTATCATGATGTTGTTTATTGGTCTAGTTATGAGGATTCTATTTTCTTTACATTTAGTTGTAATCTGTACTGAAGGCTGTTTTCTTTGGTCTTAATCAGCAAGTGTTTCAAGTCCTATTCACTTCCAGCCAGCAAAGTTTTGCCATCTGCATTTTGCAGGTTGTTAATGAGTCTTCCTCCAATCCTGATGCCACGTTTTTCTTCATAGAACCCAGTTTCTCGGATAATTTGCTCAGCATACAGGTTGAATAAGTATGGGGAAAGGATACAACCGTAATGCATGCCTTTCCTGATTTGGGCTGGTCTATGCACAGGTTCTGCATAAACACAGTTAAGTGTTCTGGAATTTCCTTTCTTTGCAGTGGTATTATCCATAGTTTGCTATGACCCACACAGTCGAATGCCTTTGTGCAGAACACAAGTAAATATCTTTTTGGTATTCTCTACTTTCAGCCAAGATCCATCTGACTACCGCAGTGATATCCCTCATTCCACATCCTCTTCAGCTTGGATTTCTGGCAGCTCCCTGTTGATTTACTGCTGCAATCATTCTTAAATGATCTTCAGCAAAATTTTGCTGACATGTGATGTTAGAAGGCACGGGGTAAACTGCAAATGTTGTTAAGTGCTGTTGAGCCTGTCCCGACTCATAGACTCACCAGGACTCTAGACTTCTTTATATTTGAGAATAACACTTTATTTGGGGTTTGGAGTCCTGATGTGGTATTGTAGGATAAGCACTGGACCGGACTGCAAGATTGGTTTGAATTGCAAGGTCAGTGGTTCAAATCCACCAGCCGCTCCTCAGAAACCCTATACAGGGTCGCTGTGGGTCAGAACCAACTTGATGGCACTAAACAACAGCAACAGAAAAAGTAGGTGTGCAGGTGTTACGGCACAGCCACATCATCATCAGAGTCCCGGATACTTTCCAGCACTTTGTTCTACCATCCTGGATGCCCTTGTCCTCATGATCCTATATGGCTGCCAGAACTCCAACCATCATGTCCTATCTCCACTCAGCACAAATGTAACCTAGTGGAGAAAGAACTTTTTCCCTTTCTTTAAGGAGTCCTCCTCAAATTTCTATGTTCATCCCATTGGACAAACCTGTATCACATGACCTCACCTAGCTGTGAGGGAGACTGGGAATTAAGTTTGTTGGTCATAGCATAACCATAAAATACATTCAGGGTGGTTTTGCTGAGGAGAAAGGGAAAAAGGGATGTCAGGGAAGGTAGCTGGTTGTCTTTCCACCCACAAGAAGTAATCTTTCCCACCTCTCAGCTCCCAAATCAGGTTATTTACCCTGCATTTGGGGTCCTGGTGTGGCACTGTAGGATAAACTCTGGACTGCTAACCCCAAGGTCAGCGGTTCAAACCCACCAGCTGTTCCTTGGAAATCTGCACAGGGTCGCTATGAGTCATGATAGACTTGACCTCACTTAACAACTAACCGAAAGTTTGGCAGTTCAAATTTACCAGCTGCTCCTCGGAAACTCTATACAGGGTCGCCATGAGTTTCCAGGGCACTTAACAACAACACCCTACTTATGGATAAGTACAGGACTGTTAACCACAAGGTCAGCAGTTCAACCCACCAGCCACTCTCCGGAAATCCTGTACGGGGTGGTATAAGTGCAGCAGCACTTAACAGCAACATCTTTAGCGCTAGGGGGCACGGTGGCTTCATAGGAAAAGCATTGGATTGTGAACCACAAGGTTGGCAGTTTGAGTCCACCAGCTGCTCTGCAGGAGAAAGATGAGGCTTAGAAATTCTATACAGGGTCACTATGAGTTAGAACCGACTCCACGGCACTTAACAACAACAATTCTTAGTCCTGGCGTGGCACTGTAGAATAAACACTATACTGCTAAGCCTAAGGTCAGCAGTTCAAACCTACCAGCTGCTCCTTGGAAACTGTATACAGGGTTGCTCTGAGTTGAAACTGACTCCATGGCATTTAACAACTACAGTAATCCTTAGTCCAGGGCCTGGTACAGCAAGTGCTGAATAAATGCCAACATTTAACATCAGCACCCTGATGCCTAACCCACAACACCAGCAGGCTAGAGTCCTGGTGGTAGTGTGTGTTAGGCATTGGGGATGTTGTTGTTGTTGTGAAGTGCCGTCGATTCGATTTGACCCATAGTGACCCTGTATGGGGTTTCTGAGGAGCAGCTGGTGAGCTTGAACCACCGACCTTGCAGTTCAAACGGCTTTGCAGTCTGACGCATTAACCCACAGCGCAACACCAGGACTCCCAGGCATCGGGGTGGGGTGCTGACTACAAAGTCAGCAGTTCTCATCAGCTGCTTCATGGGAGAAAGATGAAGCTGTCTGCTCCTGTAAAGCTTTGTTGTTGTTGTAAAGTGCCGTCGAGCCGGTTCCAACTCATAGCAACCCTGTATAGGGTTTCTAAGGAGCAGCTGGCAAGCTTGAACCACCGACCTTGTGGTTCAAACCAACCCTGTAGTCCAGTGCATTAACCCACAGCGCCACACCAGGGCTCAAGATTTATAGCCACAGAAGCCCTCTATAGGGCCACTATGAGCCGGAATCTGTTCAAAGGCAGTGGGTTTGATGTTTTTTTTATTGAAGTGGCTGTGTTGGCTCAGGGGTAGACTTCTCACCTTCCATGAAGAACTGTGTTCAATTCCCAGCCAGTGCACCTCATGCCTATGCTGTTATGATTAGCAAGTTTCAATGGAAATTCCAGATTAAGACAGACAAGGAAGAAAGGTCAGGCAATCTACTTCTGAGAAGCGGCCAATGAAAATCCTATGGATCAACTGTTCGGTTTGTAACCAATCACAGAGCAGACAGCATTTCGCTCCATTGTGGAGGGCTGACTGGACAGCAATCAGCTAACATCGCCAACGACTAGCGTGGCTATTGACTAGCCTAGCCTGTCTGTTGTTGACTTGGAAGATGACGACAGCGACGGGTGGTATGGGGGTCATGAGGACTGTGTTGGTCTCAGCTGTGAGCTTTTCTATACACTGTTTCCTCTGTTGGAAGTGCCCCCTTTCTAAGCTCACACCTGGTTCCGCTCATGGATTCATCAGGGGAAGTTAATGTCTGTAAGAGACAACACTGATGTGTCAACGACTTCACAAAACAAACATGTATTTCTCGCTCATGCATGTCACAGGCTCCTTCCCGCTTGTGCTCCTGACCTGCTCTGGCTTCCTCGCCACTCAGCCAGCAGGAATGATTGTGAGGACCATAATTCTCTTTCCCCTACATCCTGTTAGTCAGCAGTAAGTCACATGCTGTTATTAGCTGCCATGGAGCCTACAAGTATGTGCAAAGTAGAAAGCCATTGGCCTTTCAGAAGCAGATCGCCAGGCCTTAATTCCAAGCTGCCTCTGGGAATGGGTTTGAACCACCAACCTTTGGTTACTAGTTTAGCGCTTGACCATTTGTGCCACCCAGGAACTCCTAGCAGGTCTCATGGCCCCACCTAGCCTCAAAGGATGCTGGGAAATGTAGCTTAATTATATTTTTTATCAGTTAATAGACTTCCCAGAATTTATTAAGTGCCGTCAAGCCAGTTCTGACTCATAGCAACCCTGTGTAGGGTTTCCGAGGCTGTAAATCTTCACAGGAACGGAAAGCCTCATCCTTCTCCTTGGAGCAGCTGGTGGACTCGAGCTGCTGACCTGGTGGTTAGCAGTCCAGTGCTTATCCTACAGAGCCACCGCACTCGCACTCTTAGAACTGAGTGGCTTAAAACAACCGACCACCACTGTACTTGTTCACCATCCTGGGACTCAGCAATTTAGGCTGATCCAGCTGGGTAGTTCTTCTCTTGGTCTCAACTGGGGTCACTCCTACTGCTATAGTCATCGGGTGGTACGTCTGATCCAGGACAGCCTCACTCACATGTCTGGCAGTTGGTACTGGCTGTTGGCTAGGCTTCTCTCCGTGTGTGGTCTCTCATCTTCTAAAAGACTAGTCTAGGCATCTTCACAAGGCAATTTCAGGGCAGCAAGGAGGCAAAAGCAGAAGTTGCAGGGCCTCTTGAGGCTTAAGCACCAGAACTCGTACATCAAAAAAATAAAAATAAAGCCTCACTCATGGCGGCCTTGTGTGTTACAGGGTACGGCTGCTCCTTCGGGTTTTTTGGCTGTAGTCTTTATGGAAACAGGCTTTCAGAACGTTCTCCTACGGCACTACTGCATGGGCCCGAAAGGTCAAGTTTTAGATTAATAGTGAAACTCAAACCGTTCGTTCCACCCAGGGCATAGCATTACTTCCAGAAAACTTTGTGGGTCAAAGCAAATCACAAGGTCTGTCCAGATTCTAGGATGGTTGTTGTTGTTAAGTACCGTGGATTCGGTTCCAATTCATAGTGACCCTGCACAGGGTTTCTGAGGCTGCAAATCTTTACGGGAGCAGAAAGGCTCATCTTTCTCCCGGGTAACAGCTGGTAGTTTCGAACTGCCGACCTTGAGGTTAGCAGCCCAGATTTGTAACCACTACACTACTTAGAGCACTTCATTTATGGGAGGGAGGATTGGCAAGGTCAGCTTGCAAAGGGCGGCTACAGGAATGGGAAGTATATGGTGAGCATTGTGGCTGGCCTTCTCTGCAGACAAGCTACATGTGTCCAGGTGTGAACGATGATGTATACTCACCTGGTATTGTGGTTCACTTCTGTGTTTATGATGATTTCTTTTTTTTTAAAAGTGTGTTAAGTGTATATGACATAGATGTGAGGGGGTTTCAAAACATTCATGGGAAAATGGAATTAAAAGATAATTGAATTTTTCCATGAATGTTTTGGACCCCCCTTGTATATGTAGCGTAGTGGTTACAAATTGGGCTGTGAACCGCAAGGTCAGCAGTTCAAAACTATCAGCTGTTCCATGGGAGAAAGATAAGGCTTTCTGCTCCCGTAAAGATTTACAGCCTCGGAAACCCTGTTCAGGGTCACTATGGGTTGGAATTGACTTGATGCCACTTAACAACAACAACAACAACGTATATGTAACAGGTCATTTGCCTTGTCAGAATTCTTCATGTGTCCAATCCAGTGACATTAGCTGATGGTGATGTTGTTCAATCATTACCATTTTTCAGTTCCAGAATTCCCCATTCACCCTTAACAGTAGTTCAGTGTCTCCTAACTCGTTCATTTTTTTTATTACCTTTTTATTGTGAGTGGAGTGAAGGCTTAAAGAACAGATCATCAGTTTCGCATCCCACGAATCATATATTTCATTTCATCTCAGAGATTGCTATCCCCTCCGCGCAATAACAGCTATCCCACTTTCCCTGTGTTTTCTTGTTTCCATTCCTCCTTCTTTCCCAAATCTTCAGCAGTTTGTCCTGAGGTAAATGTTGCCTGTGTGATCTCAAATGGTTGGCCATTCTAGGTGTGAGTAACTGACTAGCCGTGTTCTCCCTCTGTGTACCGCTGGGGTAAATTCTGTTCCAGACCTGATAGATAGGTGACCAAGGGCCATAGTCTAGGGGATCCACCAGTCTGTATCTTCCCAGTAATTTTTTTTATGATTTTGAGTTTTGTTCCACAGTTTCTCCCACTCTTTTTGTGAGCCTCTAATATGATTCTGGTAGCGTAGTGGTTATGAATCAGGCTGTGAACCTTAAGGTCAGGAGTTTGAAACTACTAGCCTCTCCGTGGGAGAAAGATAAGGCTTGCTATGAGTCAGAACCGACTTGACAGCACTTAACAACAACAACAATATGGTTCCTTTCAGAGAAGTTGGTAGAGGTAGCTGGGCACCATCTAGTTCTTCTGATCTCAGGGTCTTGGAGACTGATATTCACTGGATCCATTAGCCTATTAGACAAATTGTTTCCAAGCACCTTCAATTTTCACCACTCTTCTTTCCCTGAACAATCGTACTTTAGACAGTCGCTCATTGAACTTGCTCATTCTTAAAGATCAAAATTCAGTATAGCCTCTTCCCAGCAGCCTTCTCTGACCACTGGCCTCCCTGGTCTCCATCATGTTACTGGTCTCCTTTCCCTCTGTACTTTTTGTGCACCCAACCAACAGCAGTTCCTGGCCGTAGCTCCTCTAGAGCAGGAAGCAGGTTTTCTCCATCTCCCAGACTCCAGCCGCCAGGAAATACTGGGTTTAAGGAAGTGAATGAAGAGGACCAGAGACGGCTTGGAGGTTTGGATGGGAGAGGAGCAGAGAGAGAAAGAAAAGAGTGATTTGTGGTCCTAATCTGTCTCTGTATCTACAGGGACAGGACAGGAAGTCCAGACAGAGAATGTGACAGTGGCTGAAGGTGGGGTGGCTGAAATCACCTGCCGCCTACACCAATACGATGGCTCCATCGTTGTCATTCAGAACCCAGCCCGGCAGACCCTCTTCTTCAATGGTACCCGGGGTGAGTGCGGGAACCGGCATCTTGAGTCTTGAAGAAGGAGAGGACTGGGGTTTCAGAGAGAAGGGAGCTTGGGGGCCTGGACTCCTGGGTCTGTGGCTGGGGAGGGCCGGGATCATACTGGGAACAAATGGAGGTGGGCAGCTGAGATTCATAGGTATGGCTGGAGAAGGTATGGGGCTCTAGTGGCCAGGACTCCTGGAGTTTACCTCTTCCTGTCATGCCTCTAGCTCTGAAGGACGAACGTTTCCAGCTTGAGGAGTTCTCTCCGCGCAGGGTGCGGATCCGCCTCTCCGATGCCCGCCTGGAGGACGAGGGAGGCTACTTCTGCCAGCTCTACACGGAAGACACCCACCACCAGATAGCCACGCTCACTGTTCTGGGTAACGCTATCTCCACCAGCACCACTTCTGCCTCTGTTTCCCTTTTATCCTGAGACCGACTTTCCGATCCTGGCTATTTTTAACATCGTAAACATCTTGGCCCCAGTAAATAGGAAGGGGCTTCAGAAAGTTCACGGAAAAGTTCCATTATCTTTCAGTACCATTTTTCCACAAACTTTTTGAAGCCTCTCTCACATGGCCTTCCTGACTTGTGTTTGACCCTTGCCACCTGGTTCCCTGGTTCCCCTTAGTCCCACGGATCCCACAGTCTGGTAGTCTGGTTACTTTGGGGTCCCATCTGTGCCTCTTGTGACTGCTCCCCTTACCCAACTCTCCCTGCCACAGTGGCCCCAGAGAATCCCGTGGTGGAGGTTCGGGAACAGGCGGTGGAAGGTGGCGAGGTGGAGCTCAGTTGCCTCGTTCCGCGGTCCCGCCCGGCCGCTGTCCTACGCTGGTACCGGGACCGCAAGGAGCTGAAAGGTACCAGGGGTTGGATACTGCCAAGGGGCGGGATTTGAGGAGGCAGGTTACTGGGGGAGGGGCTTTGTGAAAGAGGCTGGCTTGTGGGCGGGGCTTCTCTAGGGAGTGGGGCTTGAAAAGAGTGTTCTGTGAGTTTGGGAACATGTCTAGGTTCTCAGAAGAGGAGAGGAGCCTAGAAAAGTCTGAGCCTGAGGAGGCGGAGCTTGGAAGAAAATGGGGAGGAGCTCTGATGATAGGATAAGAATTTGATAGTTGGAAATAAATCAGGATTCAAAGTTGAGTTTTGGGAAAAGGCAGGTTCCTTAGGGATGGATTTTAAAGACCAGTTGATCGTTTTTTTTAAAGACTGGGGCTTGGAGTATACAGGGAAATGATAATTCTATGTGGACTGAGATTGAGAGAAAATACAGATCCTGACAGGAGCTCTGGTAGTGTAGTGAGTGGGTTATGCGTTGGGCTGCTAACCACAAAGTCAGCAGTTCAAATTCATTAGTCACTCCTCAGGAGAAAGATGAGGCTTTTTGCTCTGGTAAAAATCCATAGCATCAGAAACCCTATCCAGGGTCACGATGAGTCAGAACTGACTTGACAGCAGACACCAGGTCCTGACAGCCATGTTTGGGCCAATATGCAGCTATTGAAGGATTCTATCAATAAAAGGCGTATAAGTGAATGGGGAGTAACTTTGGGAAGAGGAGCATGGGGTTGTAGGCTTGGTTTCGGAGGGGACGTGGTTAGAAGAAAGACCTGTCATAACTAAGGGACCAGAAACCTATTGCCAAGGCTTCTTACCCAGAGCGACCCTATAGGACAGTAGAACTCTTTCTTAGGGTTTCTGAGACTGTAAATATTGATGGGAAGAGACAGCCTCGTCTTTCTCCGTTGGAGCATGGTGGGTTTTAACTGCCCACCATCAGCCAATGTTTAACCCACAGCGCCAGCAGGATTCTTGAGCTGAGGCTTCATGGGATTTGCTGGGGAGGAGACAGTGCGGGTGGGTGGGGCTGGGGGCGTGGTCTGACTTGTCATGGTGGGGCGGGGCAGGAGTGAGCAGCCAACAGGAAAATGGCAAAGTCTGGAGAGTGATGAGCACAGTACGGTTTCGAGTGGACCGCAAGGACGACGGTGGTATCATCATATGTGAGGCCCAGAATCAGGCACTACCTTCTGGACACAGCAAACAGACGCAGTACGAGTTGGACGTACAGTGTAAGTACCGGCAAAGTCAGCTTCCCATTCCCACAGAGGACCCTAACCCCGAAAGATGACCTGGGACATCCACTCTCTTTTCATCTTCCCACAGACTCTCCCACCGCCCGGATCCATGCCTCCCAGGCTGTGGTGAGGGAGGGCGATACGCTGGTGCTGACGTGTGCTGTGGCGGGGAACCCCAGGTGAGCTCTGGGGCCCTGAAGCTCCTGAGTGTTGTGGAGAAGAGCGCTTGGGAACCTGAACTTCTGGGTCCTGAGCTTGGAGGGGTTTGGAGGCCTCTAGATCCCCAGGAAGGAGACTGTCATACAGTCTTAAGAGTCTGTAGGTGGACGGGGCTGGTGGCTTAGGATTCTGGAGATCCTGGTGATGGATGGGTACTGGGTGGAATAGCTAGATTTCCAGGAAGGAAAGGACTATTGTTAAGTGCCATCGAATCCATTCTGACGCATAGCGACCTTGTCTAGTGTTTCTAGAGCAGCAGGTGGGCTTGAACTACCAACCTTGCGTTTAACAGTCCAGTGTTTATCCTACAGCTGCACACTATCAGAGGACAAGAGGGGCTTTTTATATTGGGGCTCCTGAAACATATGACACAGAAGATTTGCCCTTAATTACTAACCTAAAGATTGGTAGTTCGAACTCAGCCGTACCACAGAAGAAACGCCTGGGGGTCTGCTTCTGTAAATATTAAGCCATGAAAACCCTGTGGAGCATTTTTATTCTGTAACACCTGGGGTCTCCAGAAATCCAGTCCACAACAGTGGACGTGGTGGGAGTTACCAGTCTAGATGGCTAAGAAATCTGAATTGGATGCTGGCACCTGAGCCCTTATCCTCACTATCCTTTCCCCCTTTCCCACCTCCCATATCCCACACAGGCCAAACCAGATCCGCTGGAACCGCGGGAATGATTCTCTGCCAGAACGTGCGGAGGCTATGGGGGAAACGCTCACTCTGCCTGGGCTGGTATCAGCAGATAATGGCACCTACACATGCGAAGCGTCGAACAAGCATGGCCACGCGAGGGCGCTCTACGTGCTCGTGGTCTACGGTGAGGGAAACCGGTGGCCGGCCTCGGGGCGGGGTCTCTTAGGTTCTCCTGCAAACTGCAGTGCCCTTGATGCAGTGGGGCTTTGGGGAGGGTCCACAGCACAGAAAATCCACAAGGCAATAGTTACTTTTGAGTGGGTTGGACTTGTACAAAGCATTGGTTCAGCGGGTCGGCAGCTTAACAGGGTTTTTATAGTTTTGGAGCCAGACGGTCAGGGCTCAAATTCAGCTTTGTTGTTCCCTAATCGGGCTGCAAACCTCAAGGTCAGCAGTTCGAAACTACCAGCCGCTCCGCGGGAGAAAGATGAGGCTTTCTGCTCCCGTAAAGATTTACAGCCTCGGAAACCCTGTACAGGGTCGCTGTGGGTCGGAACCGACTCGATAACAACAACAACAATGCACCATAGTGGTTAAGCACTGAGACACTAACGGAAAGGTCAGCAGTTCTAATCTCCCAGCCACTTTTCACTCTACAGAAGAAAGATGTGGCAGTGTGCTGCTTTTAACATTTACAGTCTGGAAACCCTATGGGACAGTGGCCATGAGTCAGAATTGACTCAACAGTAATGGGTTTTGGGTCTACGTGTTCTGTGTGGTTTTGGATGTGCCTTAAGTTTCCTCATGAGTAAAATGAAATAAACAATAGCACATGCCTCATAGAGTTGTGAAGGTCTTCCCTTAATGTGTAGAATGGTTGCCAGGGTCCCTAGCACATAATAAGTGGCATGTGTTTACCTCAGCAAGGAGTCCTGGTGGCACTATAGAATAATCACTGGGCTTCTAACCACAAGGTCGATAGTTCAAACCCACCAGCTGCTCTGAGGGAGAGCAATAAGACTGTCTGTTCCCCTAGAAATGTACAGTCTAGAAAACTCTATTTAGGATTGCTGTGAGTCAGAATTGACTTGCTGGTCATGTGTTTGGTTTACTTCACATTAAGAAAACAAAAGTCCTCATAAGTGGACCATTAAGCAATATCATGAGAAATGGAGAAAAGATTGAAGTCGTCAAGGATTTCATTTTACTTGGATCTGCAGTCAACACTCATAGAAGCAGCAGTCAGGAAATCAAAAGCTATTGCACCAGGTGAATATGCTACAAAAGACCTCGTTAAAAAAGCAAAGATTTCACCTTGAGGACTAAGGGGCACCTTACCCAAGCCATGGAAACCCTATACAGGGTGGCTATGAGTTGGAACCAACTTGATGGCACTTAATAAATAACCAGCAGCAATACACATACGGAGTTCTGGTTTGGCGCAGTAGGGTGAGCACTGGACTGTTAACCTCAAGGTCAGCAGTTCAAACCCACCATACACTCCTCAGAAACCCTATAGAGGGTCGCTATGAGTCGGAACCAACTTGACAGCACTTAACAACAGCAGCAAGTATGGGAGTGTGGTGGCTCTGTAGGATAAGCACTGGACTGGGAACCAGAAGGGCAGTGGTTCAATCCCACCAGCCCAGAGAAGGATGAAGCGTTCTACTCCAGCAGAGATTTACAAGCTGGGAAATCCTGGACAAAGTCACTGTGAGTGAGAACCAACTTCAGGGCACTGAGCAACAAGAATAATATGCATACAAAAGCTGGACAATGAAGAGAGAAGGGACTAGAGAAGACCTGATGCCTTTGAATGATGGTGTTGGTGATGAAGATTATCGGTACACCACAGACTATTTATATACATCTATATTGGAACAAGGACAGACACAGGGTCCTTGGAAGTGAAGATGGTGGTGGTGGTGGTTATGTGCCATGGAGCCAGTTCCAACTCATAGCACCCCTGTGTAGGGTTTCCAAGGCTGTGAGGTGATGGTTATATGCCATGAAGCCAGTTCCAACTCATAGCGCCCCTGTGTAGGGTTTCCAAGGCTATACATCTTTACAAGAGCAGAACGCCTCATCTTACTCCTGGAGAACCACTGGTAGTTTTGAACTGCTGACCTTGAGGTTAGCAGCCCAACTCGTAACTACTATACTACCAGAGCTCCTTAGAAGTGAAGATTGTTGTTGTTAAGTGCCGTTCAGTTGGTTCTGACCCATAGT